TAGTGAATAACAAAGAAAACTTAGTTGGTAAACACACTTTTTGAACAGAAATGAAGTTCACCGAGAACTTGAACCCGAGAAACTTCAAAGATGTGACACATATTGCCTAAAAAGCCATGTGCGAAGAAATACTGAATTCTGAATTTTTGGTCGTAATGGCGGCCGTTCAGAAAAAAGTTGAGCTTGAACTTTCTTTGGAGAAGAATACGTTTCCTCGCGATAAATAAGGACATTTGCTGTCAGATGCGATTATTAATCGTGCGACGTACGACTATTAAGTTTAAAAGCCAGTCAAACACGACTATTAACGAGTTTGTACGCGATTAATATTCGTACTTACCACGATTATTAATCGTTGTAGAAGACGCTTTCAGACTATTAATCGCAAGAAGTGCCATTTGCGATTAAAAGTCTTACTTAAAGGACTTTTGAGCCAAATAATCGTAAAATTTGCACTCCGGAAATTAAAAAACACTCCGGAAATTAATAAACACCTGTTTATTATAGTTTACAGATCTTTTTGTTGTCATTCCAATTAACCCTTTAACTCCCAGCTCAAATTTGTAATTCTCGCTATTGTCAACTCTACAATTCTTACAATGTTAGTTCAGAGAATTTAGTATTCGATCAACTAATTATCCCCAAATTGATATTTGTATTTATTCTCATCACTTATCTGGTTGATATTGTATTGATATCATAAGGGGAAATTATTTCTTGGTCACTCATGGGAGTTAGGTTTAACAATCATAACAAAGTTTCATTTCACATAAAAATGTTTCAATAACTTTTTTCCTTTCTCTTCTATACCATTTACTATTTCTGGAGACAACTAACCCTTTAACTTCCAAGATCTCATCAGTAATAATTACTATTATTATTCTCCTTACTGGCTGCCACATAGCTCTTGTGATGTTAGTTTTGGGAATTTGGTATTGGATCAACACATAATTCCCTAATTAACATTTAATTCTATTTGCATCACTTGTCTCCTTGATATTTTATTAATATTGTTAGAAGAAATTCTGTCTTGGTCACACATGGGAGTTAAAGGGTTAAAGGAAGCAGGTTATTAAAAAAATTATAACTTCATTTAGGTAATTATTTGAATATGTGAGTAATATTTGATATTTTTACATGTAACAGGATAAAGATAGCCTGATAAAGGAGTCAACTGACCACTGTAACTGAGTGAGGTGACTAATTTGGAAACTGGAGCACTTGGTAAATACACCTTGGCATGCAATTCTGATGATTAAAGTTTGCTGGGGTGATTGAAATGTCAGTTTCCATGCAGGAACCTTCCATATGACCTGTACATTCATATGTTATGAGATAACTTTAGAAAAATGCATTTGTGTCAGTTGAAGTATTTTAAGTACAGTACCACCTAGTAACAAAAATTAATGATTTCCTGCAAGCATGACCGTTTGGGAGAAGTTAGTAGTGGTTGTAATTGACCTTTTTTTGCCAGGATGCATAGGGTCTGATGATTGTAATGTATATCTTTTAGCTTTCAAACTTTCAACCTTGCATTAATTGTAACTGTTTACCATAACTATTTCTCAAAAGTTGACGCAGGTGAGTGAATAACCTGACTTCCCATGTTTGGAATTGTGCGATTATATAACTTTGCTGCGTAAGTTACCACATTGTAACATGTAATATTATTATTCAGATTACATTTAATACTCTTGCTCAAGCTTTCATTAATGCATGGTGTTTCTAACCAATGTTGACACCAAAACTAAACATTGCTATCTGAAAATGGTCACAGGATATGTGAGTTTTAAAGGCTGGGATTCTGGAAAAGCAAGGATCCTCCTTCAATTAGGACTGAAATTAATGGGAGCCTCCTGTTTTAATTCATGTTTTTACTTTGACCTGCCTCCTCCTCTGTAATGTTTAGGGCACATAGATGAAGAGAACATTTTTTGTATTTTGATGCATGAAAGTTAAATTAATTGGTATCCACATAATCACAAAGCAAGATTATAAATGCCTTAGCTTAATAGGTTAAAAAGTTAAAATAAGAGAGTTGTGCAGACCATATCTTACTTTTTATCCTCTTTTGGATATTTATCCAAATAACATAGTCACTATCAGTCTCATTCACTCTCAATTTCCACTGGGCTTGTGGAAAGATAATAACCTCAGCATTTCTTTAAATGAAGAAAGGAAAGCCTGCCCTCTTACCACAGACAGTTCTTTTGGGTATCATCAGTACAAACCTGGTTTAATTTGTACAAGAAAGCAGGGCATGAAATTAATTTTTTTCTGATAGCCACTTGGCTCCTAAATATTTCAAAGTGGTAGCCAATGCAAAAAAAGTTGGTTGCCATTTTTAAAGATGAACAAAACCTTTTTCTATGATGTTAGTGTTCTAGATAGACCCTCCAAAATTACATTTTACAAAGTGGACACTAGGATGGGTGATGTACAAAATTCAAGCTTACCTAAATCCAAGATGGCATCTAATTTTCGATCGAGATGGAAGTGCTGCGTTTTGAAAATTAAACAACCTTAATGAGGAAGTTTGCCGCGGAGTTCTCTTTGTAAATCTTTTTAATTCACTACACCTCTAGGTATGGTTATGATGAAGCATTCTAGTTGCCAATTTGGCAACTACTTTTCAGGATTTGGTCGCCAAAGTGAAAAATTTAGTTGTTGAATGGGTTCACAGGCACAAGTGAAAGTTTTCAGGTTTGAAAAAAGTCACTGCCTACTAAAATCCTCAGTTCCTTTGCCCTGACAGCCCAACCTCATCAAAACATTGCCAACAGGAACAATACACAAATTAATGATACAGACAAGAGAGGCTATTCCCAAATACACCCTCCTCAATCCTGTTAGCTTATAATGGACATGGCATTTCAAGCATGGCATACATGCCACAAATTTCCATCCCCTGATTAATTATTTTGTAATGGTGTTTACAAGGTGTGGAAAATGGTTGGGTTGAAATATAATACAAAGACTTGCCAGTAGATTGTCAAATGACTGAAAACTTTTTATATATCAATAACATTTATTGTTGCATTTCATGTTAACATGTTGCAACAACTCCAACTTCCAGTAACTTCAATTAATGGCAAACATGAGAAAATATCATCCAAAACTTTTCAACCTATTTAATGTTGCCAATAACAACATCAATTCAACTTTTAAGCTAAAGAGAAAACCTTATTGATTTCTGTGATGTGGAAATGAAATCCAGGTATTACCTGGCATTTTTTTTCTTGAAGACATCCACATTAAATGCAGTTACACCAAAGGTTACCAAATTAAACAACAGAAAATATCAGAACAAGACGTCGTGTATTTCCAGCCAGAGAAAAATCATGAAACCAATGAATAGCCGAAAGCGAAAAAGTTTTAAAAAATTACAGGTTCAAACACGAGTTCGAAATTTACTTTTCTTTTAAATTTTCTACGCTCAACAAAGGAGTTTGAAATGTTAGGGGAAAACAGTGGGGCAAGCAGTCATACCTGGCAACTTCAAGAGAAGATCTAAGAGAAGCCCACACGATTCTGGCGTGTTGTTTTACTGACTCACTATGCTCACACGTATACACGCCAATCGACTAATGATGTCTTAACGCAAAGTTGTTTACGGTCGTTTCTTTCAATTTTGGCTCATTTTCCCAAACCGAAATTATAAGTCACGCTCAATAGAATTTCAACTGATGCTGTCATCATACACTTCACCTGAAGAAGATGACATTCCCTATCTTCGATCATTTGGTTAAAACATCAGGAACAACCATGAATGTCCCTAGCTGTTTGAAGATACCGCTGACTAGCTTGCGTGTTTTGAGAACATCGTCCCCAGCTTCTAGACCTCGTCTGGTCTCTTATCTCTTTGAAAACGCTCGTCTACAGCCAGTGCGGACGAGTTTTATTACAGTTTTTATTTAGTATAATGAAGGACTGGAAAATAAACTAACAAGAGCTCCGCTTTTAGGCTTGGCTAAATCTATATATTGAATACCATGACATGACATTTAGACGTATGTGTGTTCAGTCAGAGACAGTAAAAGACATCAATTGTGGTGATCAGACCGGTAGCAATTTTGATGCGGCTTCTGTGTCACCTTCTTTGTGTATCATATTTACTCTTACACAATTGAAAGAACAGGAAAAGTGGCAGCTTCACTAAGCTTAATTGTTTGGCCCGACTATAAAATCGATCTAAGGAACATTTTGTATCAAATATTTCAACTTCCTTATCGACATCTTACCTTTGACATGTACGGTGGTTTTTCGTGAGTTTACACTGGCAATGGCTAGAATGAATTGGTAAACACCTTCGTCCTCCTTAGTAACGTCATTGATAATCAGTGTTGCCTTTTCTGATCTGCTTATAGTGATGCGTGGTTTCAACGGCTCCGTTATCACCTCGGGTGGAGCAAATTTAGTAAATGTCTTTGATGCGATATTAATAAGATGGGACACATTGCCTCGTTTCCAAAACAAACTATAAGCCGTTTTTACAGCATTCTGTTCTGCCGTGGTCAGATTGTAATCCCACTGTAATTCAACCTTTGAACCATTCCAAACACTCGATGTCGAGTCAGGATACTTGGTCCATGTAAGGCAGGCTGCGGATGGACGGAAAACAAAAAGTATGATCAAATATTCGTCACAATGTCAAATTTCAAAACAAGCTTGAATGAGATATATTGACAACGAAGCTACAAACCAGAAAACTGAATGAAGGAACCAAACCAGGTGACCGCAAGAAGAATTATTGGTTTACACGCCATGGCTAAATACCAAATACAAAATAGACAAAAAAATGGTTAACAACAACACGTTATACACTTCATGTATGGCTTACAATATGTCCTAATTAGCTTGTTTTACCACGATAACCTGTGACTTCCAGAGGGTCACGGGTAGCGTCGCTTAACGATAGCTGAGTCAACACAGTATCCCCCTAGAATTAACGCATAGAGGTAACTGTCAAAACGTCTTGAATTAACCATAATCGATAATATAATGTGCCAAATAAGCTGCTGGCCAAGTGGAACGCAGACTATAAAGAAGAACAGGTTTGAAACAAAATGGCGGCGAATTCACGCAAAAAGGGAGCAAAGGATTCCAAACATTCGCTTCAGGAGGCATTAGATGAATGCCACGATCTTCTGCAGAAGATGAAGAAGCCTAAGAGGAAATCGCACTTCAATTTTTTCAGGGATCCTTTGACGGGGAGACGTAAAAGTCACTACCCATACAAGCCACGTTTTCAAGATGAGCATGTTCCATGCACCAGCTCAAATGATGGTAAAAAATGTGGTTATTTATCTTATAAACCCCTTTGTCTTTGTCAAGTTAGAGTTGTATAAACCATTTTTTAACGTATTCTATTCCAAAATATTGAAACTTACTCTTTGGAGAGTAATGACTAACGCTACCATTATTATTTTACCCAAACAAGATATCGATCAGAGTTTATTAGGAGAAGTAGATGATGTAGGACATGAGATGCCATCAACATCCAGTGTCGAGGGTAAGTTTTGTACATCGCAAAGTTGTTTTTAATCCAAACACCTACAGAATTTGTCTGGCATTTTATCAATCATATTAAACAGAGTTTAAGCTAATAGTTGAAAATACATGATCTTGCCATGTGTTGTAATGAATGTCAGACAACTCGCCCCCAGGACAATTAGCCCCAGACGATTAGCCCCCAGTCTTTGGACAATTAGCTCCCAGTCCCTGGACGATTAGCCCCCAGTCTTTTTATGTAAAGGAGAAGTTACGTTCATCTGTTGGTCATTGACTTTTATGAGTTTGTGGCTCTTAAAGGAGCCCCTTTTTTTGTGAATGTCTATCTTTATTAAGCTTTACTCAATTTAAATTACATGGGTTGTACGAGGTGAGCACAGGCCTCCAGAAGCTCCTTAGGCCGTCTTCGTATTGACTCCAGAGGTCAAAGAGTCTTCTCTGCATGGTCCGGTAGCTTGACCGCTGATGTCTCTTCAGCTTTTTGTCTGAAACCAGACAAATCTGCATGCTGACCAGTGTAGCTTCCCGGTGAAGTACCTGGATCAGGATTTACAGGGGCAGCTGTGATCGTCCTTTGGCGCGCCGGTTCAGTCATTGTGCCAACCCTCTAAGTCGTTATTTGTTCTTACTGCTTCTAGGAACACGCTCCAGTTCTGTGACGGGAAGGTCTGACTGATTATCCAGTTTTCATCTATGTAACTGCAGAAATCCTGTTGCTTGCTGCTGGAGTCGACGGAATCTGCGTTCGACGGAATCTGCGTTCGATCTTGTCAGACATTGCGCGTGGGTTTGAAATAAACAACAATGAATAAATTTTGCACCTTGCGCATGGGTGTGAAATAAGCAAACAACAATGAGTAAACGTTTGCACATTGCGCGTGGGTTTTCAATAAACAAATAAATAAAAATTAATAAAAGTTCTCACAATTCGCGTGGCGAGTTTGAAATAAACACCGATTGACATTAACAAGTAGTCGTCAATAAGTTAAAGTTTCGAAGTTTTGTCCCTGGTTTCTTTCCTTTCCTATTTAAACAACATGACGGAGAAACATTCGTAAAGTATGTAAACAGAAAGAACACAATTCATTTTTGTAGAATATATAAACAGAAAGAACACAGTTCACTTTATAATTCGATACGCACGGCAGAGAAACGTTCATAACAAGCAAACAACAAGACAGCAAGAACGTAGTTTACTTTATAATTTAACACGCATGGCAGAGAAATGTTCGTAAAAAGCAAATAACAAGAACATTGTTTATTTCATAATACATGATAGGGAAACGTTCGTAAAAAGTAAAGGGCAAGAACATAGTTTATTTCAAGGTTGGTGGGTTGGGGGCTAATAGTCCAGAGACTGGGGGCTAATCGTCCAAATACTGGGGGCTAATCGTCTGGGGCTAATTGTCCAGGGGGCGAGTTGTCCGGATACCGTTGTAATTCCTTTTTGAAATTCTTATTTAAAATTACTTAGTTAATCCTCTCCCCATGTGCAATGCTAGATTGTTATAGTTAGTGTACTGTTCTAGTATTATGATTGTTAGAAATAAAGTTGGTGTAATCAATTGGCCCATTTTTTCCAAAATGATTTAGTACATGGAAATAAATGGCAATTTATTTTGCAAGTAATTTTGCTTCATAAACTCTAAAACTCATAAACTCTAGTAGCTAAAAATTATTTTTTGTTTAATAGAAGATGACCTTGAAACTGCTATAGCAAGATGTGAGGAGGTCCTTGCCACTTTTCCAAGTACCTCAAGAAATTGGGAGACACGGATGACTAGTTTGACTTCCAGCTGGGACAGTGCCAGGAAGCAATTAATAGAGGCTGTCCTTACCTGTGAGGGCCTTCCATCCCCAGATCGTTGCAGCATTTGCATGGAAGGGAAAGTCTGTATACGGTGTATTGAGTGCCCAATTCAGTTTATGTGCTCATTATGTGATGAAAAAGTGCACAACTGTTTGGCTTTTCATGACAGGGACGCATATGTGAATGGGTACTTTCATGCCATCCCTCCAACTATAGGAGTTGATGAAGAAGATTGCACACAAATAATAGGGATATATATGTTGATTGTAAATGTAGTTGATGGAGCTTTGAGAAATAAAAGTTTATGCACGGTAATGTGGTGAGATGTACATTTGCATGGATTATGTCTTAGTTTTACTTTGTGTTACAACATCCCAAATGACAGACCTTTTTGATTGTAATTTTGTTTCTTTTCTCTCATCAGCTAAGTCCTTTCCAGTCCCCAATATTCCAGATCATTGTTCAAGTTGTAAAGAGACTGGATTCATAAAACAACTTCCATCTCCTGGGTTCTTAATAATAGTTAATGAAAAAGGTAAATATATAGATGATGTTTTCCTGCTTTAAACTTTCCTGATATAATTTTACCTATTATGAGTATATGTGTGTTGTATGGGTTAAATAAAATACATGCACAGTAATATGGCTTGCTTTGTATTTAAATTATCAGTAGAGGCCTGCTGGTTATATATCGTTTATTTTATCCTAAGCCAACAAAAACTGAGGATTATGTTACTTATTGTAGTTAGGTCATTAATACTGCAATGCAATAAGAACCTAATGATTATAATTATCAATTAGTTTCACCTTTATTGTACTTATGGGAAGTCCTTTTAAGAATATTATTGCAGTCATCATGAAGTCTTATTTTTAATTTTCAGGACGATTTGATTTAAACAATACAATAATTCAGTGTTCCAACTGCAAGAGTATAATCCCATCTTGGTCCCTGATGAGTGATGTTGTACAAGCAGGGTATTGGCCTCGGAGTCCCACTGACACCAGTTAGGGTTTTGACCAGCAATTGTTCAATTTGTGGGATTCTATTCAAAAAAGAATGCCTGGGACATCTGAAAGCTCATTTATTTGGGCACTGGAGGATGTATCAGTGATAAAAGGAAGGGTATGATTTTGCTTCTAGTTGTAATTACATGTATACATAACTGTATTTTTTATTTTATGACCAGTGTAGTAATTTTCACACAATCTTACTTGTCGCCACTTTTGGATTCTAACATTTCAATGACAATGTGTGGTCCCCCCCCTAAGAAGGGATTTTCCTAAGACCCTTTTCCCTCTGGAAATTCCAATTAATCTTCATACACTCCCTTAAATTTTTTGGCCTTTGAGTACCCCACCACCAGGAATTTTCAATCCCTTCAGTGGGGGGGGGGAGTATGGATATTTTCTGGAACTACACAATGCAATACAATGCATTTTAAAGGTTACATTAGTTGCACTTTATTAAATTATTTGATATAAATGCTTTGTTAAAATTGGCCAAAATAGTTATTGAGAGGTTTAATTAGGTTTTAAACTTGTAGGAATGCGTAGTCTTCTAATTCAGGACAGAATCACCTACGTGGTGTTGAAATAACTGGTTGGATCATGCTGGCTACCTGCTCAGCTGAGTTCATTGCTGTCTTTACCTTCACCTTCACCTCTTGCCAGGCCATCCTCAACCCCTTAATTCTTAAGATTTGTCGACACCTTGTTTCTCTTTAAAAATTTCAATATCTTGTGTTGCAGATGTAAATAAATGTGAGGCAACTAAGAGCTGCCATTATGGTTTATTCACATGTTGAGCTAAGAATAAAAGGGTGATGGGCTTTTTTAGGTTGAAGACATTTCACTTAATGTGATGTTACATAAATATTTACATTTGCACCTGCCCTCACTATGATGTGTTATTATTATTTCTCTTATTTCACACTACTGCTCTACATAGGTAGACATCATTTAAATAATGTCTGTTATTATATATATTTTTTGCAGGCACCAACCATCAATCATTCCACCTTTAGTAGATCATTTAAAGAATGGAAGTTCTGCCAGTTTGAAGTAGATAATCTCCAAGGTCACAACTGGATGAAATGCCCGACATGTTCTATCTTTCAGCACTCCTGCTGAACATGAAGTTGTACCGTTTCTGTTCATCTGGAGGGTATGCTCTATTTCATTAAAGCTTGATAAACATATTGAATGTTGCAATGTTAATTTTCAGTTGAGCTTCATGTTGACATGTAAATGCTGATTGTAACATTACTTTTGTTTTGCTTCGGTCCATGTCATTGTGATGTGTGAAAGGTCTAATAACCACTTCTTTGTCCCGTATACCTAAACTTAATAAGATATGATTAGACACTCTTTCCGCGGTTCAGGTCTAACAAAAATAAGTGTTATGGAAGATAAGAATTGCTGTTCTTTGTTAAAATGGTATATTTTTTCCTATAATAATTTTATTTAGTTCTTTTTCTACAGACAAAGAAGGCAATCGTATTATGAAGATGTTTTCATTGCTAACAAGGGGGATGTTGACAGTCACATGAAGAAGGTTTATGCAAAACAGTCCAAATCTAAGGTTTGTGTGCATTTTTTTCTCAGTCATACTATACGTAATAGTAATTGGACCAAGTGCAGTACAATTCAGGAAGTAATTGGGTAAGTAATTTCAAAATCAGATGACCATGCAGCAAGAGTCTGATTTAAAATAACAAGCAATGTTAACACTCTGAATTGTATTCTAGTTGCTCCAATTACTTATTAATCGTGTCCATAACAAATTTAGAGGTTAAGAAGTTTTTGAGAACTTCCTTTGAGTGAAAGCATCAGTTATATGTTACCGTAGTTTTAAAAACAGTAGTGAAACTTTACAAACTGAGAGAGCCATAATTGACAAGAATAGCACAGGTGTCCAATTACAGGTATCCAATTCCAACATTTGGAGACAATTACATTTTCATTATTTTTATATATTGCAACAAGGAAAAAGACAATATGTGTGGTGATTATCCCACTGGCGGGCTGCTTCCAACAAGGGCAGAAAGACAGCCAAACTGGATGAGACAGGCCTTGAGATTGCAGGCTGTTGGCATGGCTTGGCACAATGGGCCGTAAACATGTACCAGGGGGAACTATATGGTTATGCCAACTATATCCATGTCAAGAAAATGATACCAGCAGGAGTCACATATTTCATTATATACAGGTAAACCATGTAGCCTTGTGTGATTTTTAGTACATTTTTCAAGTTGTGTTCTTTCTTGAGTTTTTGTTGGTACGGGTAGCTGTCGTGATACTCTTGACGTTTAAGTAAGAGATAATGGAGGCAGATTTGTTAGCACGTTGAACTTTGAATGAAACTGTCCAGGTTTGAGCCATGGTCAGTGTCATTGTGTCGTGGTCTTGGGAAAGCCACTTTACTCTGACGGTGCTTCCCTCCATTCTGGTGTTTTGGTTTAGTTTCACTTCGCAGTCCTCAGTTGCAGATTGTAAACGGCCGCTCCCTACATGTTGCCCCAGTCATAATTTTGAGATCCTAAAATTACCCTGTTTTTTGTTCACTTTAATTTTTAAATTTGTAATGAGATGGGATGAAGAAATTGCTCTCTTAAAAAAGGAGATGGCGAACTTTGTAGCGTTCTACATCGAAGTTACTATTCCTCAGCTTGAAAGGACGGTTGTGGAATTACAGGATAAATTAGATAGTAAGTGTATTATGGAGTAGTCTTTCTTGTTCTTATGATCAACGGTTTGCTTATTAGAAAGGAACTTTACAAAAATGTCTGTTCTTTTCCCACTTCCAAGATCCTGAGTGCAGCTCAGACGTACCACTAGACAACGAAGAAGCATTGTTGCAGCCTGAGATGGAACAAAAGGTAGGGCAAACAAACTGATAAATGTTATTGAGTACCCCTTTACAGTCTTTACATTTGGTCTATAAAATTCTGAATTTGTACTTTAAGGAAGGTTATGTGTTCTTGAACGTGTGCGATACTTAGATGATTTTTAACCGTAGATGAGTATTTTGTGATTTTGTAAAGTAGGTCAGTTAGATGCTTACTTATACTTTATTCAATGGTTCACTGACGGACGGATAGTTGTTGTGAAGTCTAATGAAGTATCACTATGTTTTTCTGTGACGCTCTTTGTTTCTTTTATTATATTTCTTATATTCCAACTGATCGCGTGTCCAGGAGAGGAAGTACAGAACTAGCTCAATGAGTGCCGCGGTACTTCAAGGAAAGTTGAGCTGTGCCAAAAAGGGAATTGCTTTTTGCAAGAATCAACTTTGTTCCGCAGCTACCAAGTTCAAAGCTGCATTAGCTGGGAGTGACTATGAGGAGTGTCTTAATATCAATGATGGTTCAGAAAATGATGGTGATGATGATGATGGTTGTGACGATGCCAACTACGACAGCACTGGTGATTGCTCCGATGACGAATTCGCCAACAATAACGTACCCACTGTACAAGATAACGTAGAGGTGCTCGGCGAGGAAATTCCCCATTGCGATACATTCTCGTGGAAATTTCCTGTTGAAATTAGCCAGTCAACCCTTGATGGACGAAATGGAAGTTCGGCTTGTAGTGTGATAGCCTTAATCTTTGCTCATCAGGTATGGCATGGGCGCCTCAATCTCCAACGTACGCCTTCCCTATCACCTCTGTGGGTTATGTTACTCTGTTCATCTATCAAGGTCGGAAACCGCCTTTATGACTGCTGTCGACAAGGCCTACCCCAGCGTTTCCTGTCGGCTTCAGAGGCTGCTACTGTTGCAGAGCAGTGTGTGAGTGTGACAGTGCATTCACCGTTGGCGGTACGAGTTCGTGATGGCCATGCGCCTACAACTCTAGTGTATCAATTATCAGCACTATGTGATGGCACCCAGGGTAATGCTGCGTTGCTTATAGCCAACGAAAAGACCGTTCTCTTCCTAGCACTAGCAGGTCAATCTATTGCCTTGGTGGACACTCATCGCCATGGTGCTTATGGTGCCGAGATATTACT